GGAGAAGAAAGACTATCTGAGGTCAGACAAATGGCTCATTTATTTATCTTCATCAGATGTTTCCTGAACCTGTGCTGCGGGCCCAGCACTGTTCGTTCGTCGAGAATGAAATGGGCTGATGTTGCAGGAGCCGAGGCAGGTGGAAACCAGTGCACAATTCCCTCACTAAGTGGACCGCACATAGTGGAGGGAAAGGACAGCCCTACATGGGGAAGGCAGAGGCTCTCTGCAGAGCTAACTGCTGAGACCTGGAGGGGGAGCTGGAATTTGCTAGAAGAGGGTGGGCCAGGAGAGCATTTCAGACAGAGCAGCCCATGAAGAGTTCTGGGTTGGGAACAAGTTGGTCCCTGTGGAGAAATGGGAAAAGGCTGGCCTGGCCTGGGGACAGAAACTCAGAGAGTGGAGAGACATCCTCAACGTTTACCCAAGTGCATGGAAGTCATTAAAGGGCTTAAGCAAAAAGTGGTAGCACTTACAACTTTAAAACATCACTCAGGCTGCTGTGGGGGAGGACCTGGAGGCAGTGAGTTTGGTTAGAAAGCCTCTGTTGGAGCCAGGACAGTGATGGTGATGTGTCCTAAGATGGAAGGGGTGGCTGTAGGGAGTGTGGCCAAACAGAGCTACCCGGTGGCCATAGGGAGTATGGCCAGACAGAGCTACCCGGTGGCCATAGGGAGTGTGGCCGGACAGAGCCATCCGGGGGCCATAGGGAGTGTGGCCGGACAGAGCCATCCGGGGGCCATAGGGAGTGTGGCCGGACAGAGCTGCCCTGGAGACGCCAGCAGGACTGGAGCATGGACCCAAGGTGTGGGGAATATCTAGGCTGACACTGATGTGGATTCCGGGTGGGCGCTGTAGTGGAGGTCAAGGGTTCAGGTTTGAATTCGCAAAGTTTGAGATGCCTCCCAGACGGCCAAGAGGAAATTTTGGGTAGACACACACACACACACACACACACACCCCTAAGCTGCAGGGTTACGGGCTTGATCCTCAGTAGGAGGCGTGCAGGAGGCAGCTGATCAATGATTCTCTCTCATCATTGATGTTTATCTCTCTCTCTCCTCCCTTCCTCTCTGAAATCAATATATGTATTTATTTTAAAAAGAAATCTCCCAGGGAGCATGTAGATCGAGCAGAGTCCTGATGAGCTGCCTCTTCAGGTGAGAGAGAGGGGGGGGGGAGCTGGACAAACAGCACGGCAGCTCGCCGAAGGCAGTGAGCGGGACGAGGAAGCCGTCAGCCACGGGGATGTTGCTGAGAAGGTGAGCATCTCTCTAAAGAGGCTGCTGGACTTGGCGACATGGACATGGCAGACGAACTGAGTGAGAGCCGTTTGGAATGAATGGAAACCTGCCTGGGTGGAACGGAGCAGGTGACAGAGGGAGCGGGCACAGTCAGATCTTCAGTGACGCTGGCTCTGAGGGAAGACTAGAGAGACAGGCAGAGCTGAAGGAGGGGAGCGAGCGAGGACCTCCTGAGTCCTAAAGCTCCCTGCAGGCCAGCGTCCTCCTACCATCAGCCTGGGCTGACCAGAGGGTTCGTTCCCCTCCAGCTCTAGAAAGTGATGCACATGGGCTCCCCATCGGCCTCAGCTTCCCCTCCTCCATCCTTGACATACGACCCCATTTCTGTTCAGACCTCCCTCAGGAAACCTCTTGGGTTGGACTCTATGATCCAAAACTCCCATCATAAAGGTCCATGTCCTACTGAAAGCCCCGTGTGCCCGAGAGGTCTGAAGGCATGGATCCCTCCTATACTCCCACCTCGACCTGGTCTTTTCCAGACCACAATGTCCAAGGACTTCCCCCACACACCCAGCCCCCCTTAGGACCCCCTCTCCCACAGTCTCCACTTGGAAGCTCCACTCCAGCCCCGCCCCCTCCCTTGCATTTGCTGTTTTCCCTTCAGAATCAGTCTTCCTTGCCCAGTGGAATCTTGTCCAGTCCAGTCCAGTCCAGTCCTTACACCTCCAGAGAACCCTGCCCGGTGCCCAGCCTCTCCGGCATCCCCCCACCTCTCACACTGAGGAGCAGGGAAGCTGCCCACAGACTCCAGAACGCCGGAGGCCCTCGGAAACACGGATTTATTGATGGGTGGGTGGAGAAAAGCAGGGGCCCTTCCTCACTAACGACGAGACCCGCATCACCACGGCTGCAGCGGCAGGGTTCTTCAAGAGACAACGGGGTGCACGAGTCCTCCCCATCCTGCCTCTACAGAATCATCCGAGCAAGTGCCATCACTTGACTTCAAGTTCAAGTTAAGCTCCGACCATCATGATCATCAACTATTTCAGAAACCTATTCTTGGAGATGTTGAAAATTTAAACCACAAAAGTTCATGTTTTCTTTAAGCCATAAATAGAGTTTTCTTGCTGTTTTGAGTTGTGGATTTCCTCAACTTTTCAAATATTGAAAAGGCAGCTTTCTAAACGCAGTCCTCTCGTCCTATCATGCTTCGTGTAATAACAAGCACACTGATTGCACACAGGTGCCGGGGTTTTTCCACTCAAGGTGCCGGCTGAAGTGGACATCAAACCCAGCAGACTGCAGCGACTCCTGTCATATGAGCTCCCACTAAAAAGTTGACACTGGCCAAGTTTTCAGGCATCAGCATTTTGTGGAAATTGGTTCAATCAAAGCTGGGCTCCAAAGTGGCCTTAAACGGAGCAATTACTGCAGCCACACAGAGGCGGGCGGGATCTGGACACAGATCCATAATAACAGGCTTTATGACTTCTCGGGGACTGTCCTTGCTCCCCTGCATCAACAACTTGAAAACCAACAATCTTAAAATGCCAAAAGTAGCCATTTAACGGCAAAAGCTTCCCCCAATCCGAAGGTGAGAACTCCGCAAAGGTCAGGGAATCCGTGCCCCTCAGCCTCAGCGCTGGCGCCAATCCCTGCCCGTTAATGTCAGTTCCAGCATGGACACACCCTCCCACAGAGTCCAGGAAGTTCAACTCCCACGTCTGTACATCTCACCTGGACTTCTCCTGAGGTCGGATACACTTTCTTTTATGGGAAGAATTCTTTATGTATTTGCCTTTGATTTGCTTAAGACCATGGTCGGCAAACTGCGGCTCTCGAGCCACATGCGGCTCTTTGGCCCCTTGAGTGTGGCTCTTCCCAAGCCTTAGGAGTACCCTAATTAAGTTAATAACAATGTACCTACCTATATAGTTTAAGTTTAAAAAATTTGGCTCTCAAAAGAAATTTCAATCGTTGTCCTGTTGATGTTTGGCTCTGTTGACTAATGAGTTTGCCGGCACTGGCTTAAGAGATCAAGGTAACTAAGAGTCCTGGCTGTGTGGTCTCGGGAACCTGAGGCTGTTTCTGTTCAGTCCCTCTGGCCTCCTCTACAGGGGCTCCAGGCTGCGATCACTGCCCCCAGCCCCCATCAAGGTTACACTGCCCTCAGGGCCAGGCCGGGAGGCAGAAGGGAGGGCACCCTTGCCCTGTCTGGGCCTTTCTCTGACTTGGTTGGAAAGAACAGGTTTCTAAAAAACAAAATAAAACAAAAACCAGCTTTAAGAGACACATATATTCAAATATAATCATGCTTTTGAGGGTGTGTCTGTTTTTAAATGATGTGATTCACCCAAAATCATATGTCCCCCATTTCTCATCCAGCCGCCTTTGGGGAGAACACGGAGAGTGGAGGCATGAAGGGCCCGCCTTCACACACCTCCAGCACTGACACACTTTCTCCTGCCCTGAGCGTTTGTGCTTGAAAAGTGCAAACTCTCTCGGGGAGGACGGGCGACCTGTCAGCGTTCCTTTTAGCACCTCCAACTAGTGTGAACTGCCGTGCTAGGAGTGCAACAGGGAGCCTGCAGCGGCTTCGGGAGGGTGGCTTGACCCATATCCACACTCCATGGATGAACCTGGGGATTCTAGGGTTTCGGATTAATAAGTGAAATGAGGCTGACTTCCAGAAAAGTGGTTCCCTATAGGCTGCAAGCTAATTAGGGTGCCCTGGACCTGCCCTGGAACAGCCGGTAGAACGCAGGCAGCCTCTGTAGCTGCCATCCGCTCAGAGTCTGCTTCTGAAAGGAGGCTGGCGGGGAATTATGAAAATTTAGTAAATAAGAGAACCCTAGACGCCACCACACCAGCCTGCAGTTCCGCCCCTGGTGGCCAGGGAGTCTTGGAGGCTGGGTCTCCACCGGCGGCCGCTGCACCCGGCACGCGCCGAGCTGCGCTGCTGAAAGGAATTGGAGAGCTCCCAGGTTCAGCGGTGGGAGCCCTCCCAGCGCCGCAATTAGGAAAGTTCTGGAGTAAGTTAAGACCATGGAGCACAAAACGCACAGCCACAGCGTGCGGAACCAGCAGGAGCCGCTCGCACAGGCCACCAGCCCTGCTCGGCCTGACGTACCCGGTGCCTCTGCTCCCGCTGCCCAGAGCTCATCCAGAGGGCGCCCAGCCAGGCAGGCGGTTCTGCCGGATTTGCGATTCCAGATGGAAATGCCTCCAGGCTTCCTGGCCCGGGGGAGAAGGGCTGGATTTCAACAGTCAAAGGAACATGGGCAGAACCACCCAGTCCCGCTCGGACGCCCAGGACCTGCTTCGCCAAAGGACGCGCGGCACAGCCCATGCGCCCCCGCACTCCACTCCTCTTCTCTCTCCACAGGTCCCCCTAAACTCTTCCTGGGAAGCCCCCCAAACCACAGACGACGCCCCGAAACTCCCAGGGCACTGGCCAGCCACCCCCACCCATCTCTCGAACACTCCTTGCCGCGTTCTCTCCGCCCCGCACCGTCTCCTCGCATTCGCGGGGAGTCAGACGCAAACCACGAGAAACTGCTTCGCGAGGAGCCTCCCTACGCCCGCCCAGTCACTGAAACAAAAGCGCAGGGAGGGGGGAGGTGGAAGAGGAGGCGGGAGGAAGGTTTAGACAGAGGATGGGGAGAGCAGAGAGAAGGAGCTGGGAGGAGGTCGGGGTGGGAGCAGAGACGGGGCCGGAGGGAGACCCGCTCCCGTCCCGCGCGGCCGGTCGCTTACATGCCCAGGTCGCTGTAGGTGTTGAAGAACTCCATCTGGTTGCACGCCTGGATCCAGCCCACCACCCAGGTCTCGTGGCGGGGGATGGGGGGCATGACCACGCGGGCCGAGGCTTTGAAGTAGGGGGTCTTGTAGCGCAGGACGATGGGCGAGGTCTCCTCGATGCGCGTGGGGCACTGGTCGATGGTGGCGCACACATCGTACACCACGATGTTCTCGCGCCTGATCCGCGCCTTGCAGGTGATGCTCTGGATGCAGCCCATCCTGCCCCCTGG